TATGATATATTGTGTGTGTGTGTGTATATATATATATATATATATATATACACACACACACACACATTTAGTTTATTGGGGCAGCAGTTTGAAAATATATAGCATATATATTTGGCAGCATCTTTTCGTTTTGACTACCTACTTTCAATTGGATCCTTTCATAATCACGGCCAAGCTTTTTTGTGTCAAGAGAAAATTTCTGTGTTGATACATATTATTTTTTTCCAAGTACTTTCAACATTCGCATGATATCATTAAGATAAATATTCTAGTGTTCATTTTTTTCAAAGACAAAATTGCTGTGTTCATCTGAAAGTTAGAATTTTTTACTTGTTAAGTGAAGAACACTGAGTTGAGTACTGTGTGATTACCTTGGGCAGGTAACTAAGTTATGATGTTGATTTTTTTTTTTTTTTTTTTTTAAGAAATAAGTATTAAACCTCTATTTTAAACTATCTACTGTAAACATTTTAAAACATTGGTGCAATATAATTAATTTTAAAGTTTGGTTTCAATTTTTTAATATAGATAGCTTAAAGAATTTTTAGTTTATGTTTATTATTTTCATGAAAAAGTATCAATGTATTTTCAACAAGAATTTTCCTGAATTGTCAATGTGGACAGGTATAGTGCACAAATTTATATAATTGTGTATTTAGGCAGCAATCACTCTTTTGTTAAAGGTGACTGTCAAGGTAGTGTGATTCAGCTTTTTATTTAATTTTTATTGTGTTTGTACAAGTATTTTCTTTTCTGGACACAAAGTGCAAAAAAAAAACTCTCCACAAGTTTTGCATGTCTGAATGCATTTGGCTATACTTTTAGCCATTATCAAGGATGATTCTATGTTTACTTTTAATCCTGTCTGTATCTAGAGTTATAGGGAATATTTTATTTTCCAAAAACAGCACACTATGGCCGTGTTCATAGTTAATGCTATTAAGTATTGACTTTTTCTTTCTTTAGTATTAAGGCTTCCATTATTTTTAATTGTTTTTTTTTTTCATGTGGATGAGGTTAGTATGTTTCGGATGGAGTCTGGTAGGATTTTGTGTGTGTTTAAATGAGTCTTAGTGGAGCTATTGTTGGATAGGTATGTAGTCATGTGACCAATATAATTATTTATGAGTTTGATCAGGAACACAGTTCCTTAAGGGGCATTTGAACTTGTAAATACTGTTGGTACTTTGCAGTTTTGATCTTGCAAGTGTGTTGATATTTTTTATGATAAGGTTAGGTGTTTTAAATTTTTTGTAATAGATAATTTAATTTTCTTTTTCAGGTCAACTGGGGTAGTACATTTCTTTGATATTATCAGTGAAAATTCATCTTTATATATATATATATATATATATATATATATATATTGTCTTTATTTTCACCCGAAATTAATAGAAACATTACAATGGCTCATAATCAAGCATAATAAACATTCATTGTCTGTTATATTTAACAAATAAATATATATATATAGAGAGAGAGAGAGTTGTAGATATACATCACTGCTAAGGAGCCTTACTTGTGTCTTTCTAATCTGCCAGATTTTATTTATGCTCCAGGCTAAAATTGAACTTCTCAAATGATTTGGCTGACTTTTCTGAACTTTGGCAGGTCAACTTTTGCTATATCCAAGTTGGCCAATCAGCCCATCCAAACCTAACTTCTTGCTGATTCATCATCCTATGATAAAGTAACATCTGCACCGGTAGGTGATGAGGGCACTAATCCTCTGGTCGTCTCTCTATTGTTCAGGCTATTGTTAATCAACATGTTTGATTGATGGAGGCTTTTTGTTTAGCACATCTGCTACTTGCTGGATTATACACACTTTGTGTGTGTGTGTGTGCTTTATTTCTATTTAGCATTTCCTTCTTTTTCCTTTCAAAGATCTTTGCCCCATTTTTTATACCTCAACCTTTCTGGTTCAATCTTTCTCTGTTGGCCTTTATTTGAATCTGCTTGCTTTTCTCTCTCTCTCTCTCTCTGTCTTTTTGTCCCCCATTTCTTTCTGCTTCTCTCTATTTAATTTTTATCTCGCTATACAAAGTTGAAACAGCTAAAAACATATTCTCTTTTTCTGATGCCAATAAAATTTCAAAATTCTTTTTGATAAAAGTACAATTATTTCGTGACCAGATATTTTGAGTAATGCATATTCTATAAATATATATCAATCAATATTTATTATTGCATGGATATATTTAAAAATGTAATATAGAAATAAAGAGCAAGGAGAAAAAAAATATACATCATAGGTCAAAAGTTTGAGGCCACTCTTTGGATTCTAAGAATCATGTAAAAATAGATGGTTGCATGCTTTTATCAAAATAAATTTATTAACTCACTTTCAGACTAAAGGGACTTTCTCTTCATTTAGGAGTTTTATCATATATTCAATAATAATAATAAAACAAACCCATTACTGCAAGCAAACTTTGTTTCCTTAAAATTTTAGCCTTTTTTGCCTAACTACTTTACTGGCTAATGGTGAAGTTGCTGTTAAGGGATAAATCATATAAAAGATAAAAAGCTGATGAACAATTAACTATTATTTTGATCAAAGACCAAAATTAATTTAAAAAATTGAATTTATTGAAGTTTGTGTGATAATGGATACTCTCTTTATAGAATTGAGCATTCCTATTAAAATGGCATAAGTCAATAAACCTAAACTAATTGTTTTTGAAAAATGTTCCATGTAATTGTGTATGCCATGGATTGGTGATTTGCTCAGCAACTTTCTTCCAGTGTAAAACATTATTATTTTTCTGCCAATCATTTTGTAAGAATATTCGGCTTCCTCACCAGATCATTTCAGTTATTTACAGTTTTTAAATATCAGGGTGATGCTGACTATATACTGGTTGGAAATTAGAACAAATCAGTATGTATAGGTAAAAATTCAGAAAATGCATTGTAATTTGCATAAGTACATCAATGCATCCGGATCTGCATTAGCTGAGCATTTATTAAATAATCATCAGTTTATTTCGTCCTTCGCTAAAGACCTTTTCTCGGTTGAGCTGTAAGGTGCCTTCAGAATTCATTCATTCATTTCTATGGCTTATCAACCCTTTTAAAGGTTATTTAAAGCCAGAAAATATTTTTAGATTCTAAGAATTTTTTTTTTATAAGTGAATACAACAAATTCAACTGGAATTGGAACTCTGCTCTCCAATTAAAAATTCTGAGCCATTATCCATTCCACCACCTGCACATCCAAGCTTCTAGCACCTGGTATTCTCAAGAGGTCACCCATCTCTAGGTACTGACCAGGCTCAATGTTAACTTAGGTAATCATATGGGAACCAGTGTTACCACATGATGTGGCCATAAGCTCTGAGAGTTTCATTTAATGTCTTAGTGACTGTATATATCAAGTCACCACAATCTCCCCCCTTTAAGCAGCAGGAGTCACTTTTGGACACATGAGTTTCTTCCCTTTGAGATTTTATATATATATATATATATATATATATATATATATATATATATATATTTTTCAATTTTAATCATTGTACACACCCTTATTTCTTGATAAAGATCTGCAGTGTGATGAATGATAACTGAGCAGTCTTTTTTTTTTTTTTTTTATGGTTATTATATATATATATATATATATATATATATATATATATATATATATTTTTTTTCTTTGCAAAATTGGAGAGCCAAGTTTGAATTCCATTTGGGTTCACTACATTCACTTAAGTGCAAATAAATGCCCTTGAGAAAGGTATGAATCCATCTCCACCCCAAGCTATGGGTTAAATAGTAGGACTTGTATCTGTAAAAATTATTATTCCCAAAAATTGTTAAAGATATATTCCCTTGCAAAAAAAGAAAAATAAAGAGATTCTTACGATTCACATTGCCTTGGTTTTAAATAACCCACAAAGGGTTGATAAGCCATAAAAAAAAAACCAAATAAGTCAATCTTTGTCCTTTACTCTTCATTACCCAATTACATTTTTAATATGTATAAATTGTATCTTCAGGAAAATATATATATATATATATATATATATATATATATATATATATATAAAATTTAAACAAAATTTTTTTTTTATATATATATATCAGGAACAATTTTAGGAGAAAAAAAAGTATGACAGTTTTTTCTTCCTATATATATATATATATATATATATATATATATATATATATATATATATATATATATATATATATATATATACACACACACACACACACACACAATTTGTAATTGTTAGGGATTATTCCAAGGAGGACTTTAATCCAATGAGAGCTCAATGTAAGTAACAATATTACAATTGTCAGTTTTCAATCCATACCTGATGATTGCATCATATATGAAACTCAGAAAATTGTTACTGGTGAGAAACAAGATGTATACTTATTATTAGTGTGTGTATATAATATATATATATATATCCCGCTCTCACCCTTACACCGTAGAAACCTTCAAATGTAGCCGTCTCTTCTACTCCAATAGCTTCATACCTCGCACCTCTCGCCAGTGGAACACCCTGCCCAATTACTGTTTCCTGAAAGCTATAATCTCCAACTATTCAAATGTAATGTCAATCGACATCTCCAATTACCTTGATCTACCCACTATCCTTCTCCTCTTCCTTTCTCCTATCACTCTTATCTGCTCTCGCTCCAAATCTTCCGCAACCCCCTGCATCCTAGTGGCTTCATGCCTTGCTTGGGGCACAATGCTTTAAAAAAAAAATATATATATATATATATATATATATATATATATATAGTAATTCTCTACTTCTTTCATAGTTTGAGCTAGTCTATTAGAATTCTGGTTAGTAATTATTTGTTCTGTTCTTTTTTATATAATGACTTTGGAAGAATGCAAATGTTATCAGGTACAAAGATTGTATTTTTGTGTAAATGAACAGGATCTTAAAAGTAAAATTTCTTTTAGGAAGTTTTTGGATGACAAACATTAAAGAAGAAAATATATTTTATAAGAAAATGTTTTTGTTTTTTTTCAGCACCTAGTGGTGCCCCCACTATCATCAGAGCATACAGTTTATCACCACACGTGATAAGAGTTGTATGGGAAGCACCTCCTGAAAATATGACCAATGGAGAATTGTCAGGCTATGAGCTCATATATGGGATCAGAGGAGAAGACACTGTACAGCCGATATCTGTGAACGATCCAAGTAAAACAGTAAGTTTAGCTTTGTGTAATAATTATTTTATTGCTTTTTTTATATATATATATATAGATCAAACACTTAGGTCAATTGCTGGATGTTGAGGGAGTAAAAAAAAAAAAAATTCTTCTTTTATCAGGAAATATTTACCATATGCACTTGCGTATAGTGCCAGTTTTATGATCAGTTTTTTTTTGTTTTTTTTTTTTAACACCCAAAATAGGGGGGTTGCACTACACATGGGTAGAAAAAGTTAAAAACCATGCATTTTTGGTGACAAGTTCTACTATACACAGGTAAATTTTCTCTGGAGGGGTTAAAATTCAGTTGTTGCACTATACATGAAGTTTTCTTACACACAAGTAGTACAAAAAGTAAAAAGTGTTTACTTCTACTCTGACATTGTGTGGGCCTGCAGCGATCAGTCCATATGCTTGTAATAGTGGAATGGGTCATCTTGTCTTATAAGTCCAAAAATTGTTAAATCATTTATTTTGTTATATTTCTGTCTCTTTGGGATGTGACATAAAGGATTCTTCTCCTTCCTCTTTCTTTGATTGAAATGGAATATCTTCAATTTCTGTACACAAACAATGATCCCAACACCTGTTTAGCATTCAGTAGCATATTATTTATTGTAAGAGACTAGGCAGCTAGTAAGAAAAGAAAAGAATACTGAGGTTTATAGCATAATTATGTAGCTATGATACTACACATTAGTAATTGTCGGTGTTCATTCATTCATTGTCTACAAAACAAATATAGACCTCCACACAGTTGGTTGATGATCCACCTTTTCTAAACAGCCTATGTGTATTCCTTAAATAGACAATTTGCCTTCACTTTGTGACACTGACATACAACTAATTTTTTGCAATTAATCTCAACCCAAGGTTCTTTCCTTGTCTGAAAACCAGATGCCCCTAATGCTAACAAGTGGCTCAAGGTACAGAATTTGATCCTACCTATATTCAACATAGAATTAGCAGGATAGTATAAATGTAAAAAAAAAAAAAAACTTCATCTGAATTGAGCAAGTTACATTTTATTTAAGAGACCATTAATCATTGGACGTAGGTTAAATGAGCCGGAAAGGGATTGAGTAAATTTTAGTTACACTGGAATTATTTGATCTTGCTAAGTTAAACCAGGCATTCAATCCTTGCTGTTTCTGTTGCCCATATTCAGTTCTAATTAAGGTTCTTAATTGGCTCTTTCTCTTAATGTTCTCTACTTAACATAACCATTCTCCATTATTTTTCTCATCTACTTTAATTAATTCAATTTTATGCTACAAGTTTCCTTAAGGGTGTTTTTCTGCACAAGTGAGGACCTCACCCAGTTGCAAAACTAAATTCATTATCATCTTTTTTTTTTTTTTTTTTTTTAATCATTTACACCAAGAAAGGCACAAAGGGTTACTCAGTATGAAAGAATATGAGAAAAAGAAAAACATTAAGGAGGGAGAGAAACAATAAAAGAGGAGGAATTAAGAAAACAAAAGATAACGAGCGACATTGATTTTCAAAAATTTAAATACAATGTTGACTGGAAATCAAAAGGCCGGAAGAGATTTCCACAAGCGAGAAAGTGAGAGAGAAGAAATCGTTAGTAATTTAAAATTTAAAATGATGGAACCTGGCTGGCAATCTAGAACTGCTCTTAAATTTGTAAAACTGAGGTACCAAAGAAGAATGCTCATCAGAAGAAATACCATGAAAATATTTATAGAAACGGGGTACACAGAAGTGACATTATATTGGTGGGAAAGTGACTGAAGCCGAAATGCCAGGTCAGGACCAATAACACTGCAGATTCTTCTTTGGATTTTATCAAGAATCTCTAAATATATAGCAGATAGACTAGACTCAATGTGGAAGCAATGTTCAGTGATGGGATAGAAGGTAGACTTATAAATATGCAACAATATAGTTAAGTGTGGAGATAAAAATTGTAGATCAATCATGCAGGAATTGTAGCCAAGCCAGATATATGCATAAGCCATGAATATATGTGTATATATATATATATATATATATATATATATATATATATATATATATATATCATCTAATGTTAATTATGTTTTAATAACTATGTCCTGAAGAAGGTCTACTAGACCGAAACGTCTGACATCGACATTGAAATAACATTAAAACAGCATATTTGCATATTCAGATTTTTGCTTTTCCATATATTTTTCTTCATATATATATATATATATATATATATATATAGTGTGTGTGCATATGTATTATATGGGCATGTGGCCGAGTGGTTACAACTTTCACTTTCTGACCATGAGACTCGAGTTCGAATCTTACCATGGTTGATTTGTCAGGAAGGAGACTTTCTGATGTTATTGAAATGGACCAAGGTCGATCCCAGCATGTGGCACCTTTGGAAAGTATCTGAAAACCATAACATGGGTTGACCCAAGCCTAATGAGTGAAAATGGATAGACGGAACCCTTGATGACATCAATAGCTGTACTAGCACAAAGCCTCAAGTCATCATGGATGAGGACTTGAGCATGCTAGCCTTGTTCAAATTGCTGGTCATGCTAGATAATACACCCTCTCCCAAAAACTGTAACTAAGGTCTGCTCAGCATAGTTGCAGTATAAATCACAGGTCAGCTCTGTGGGTGTTGAGGAAACACAAATGTGCCAGAGCAACTGACTGCAATAGGGATTGGCTAGCTGCCCTAGTAGATGAGTATCCTTGAATATGAGTAGCCAACTATTATATATGCATGTGTGTAGATATATATGTGTGTGTGTGTGTCTGTGAATGTTGGTACCATCTAATTTCAAAAGAAATTCTTGGTACTTCACATATAAAATTTTTTAACTATTGGATTTTCCATAGTAGAAATAGTGCTCAGGCAAATAAGAGTCTGTTTGACATTGGTTTTAGGAGTAAATTAACTGTAAATTGATGACAGTTTATCATTTACCTTCAAATATAGTTAAATTTTTAAAAATTATATATTATTTCTTATAGTCATAATTTATTAGTAAATAATGGTCCACTCTCTATGAGTAATTATCTTATTTTGTTTATTTAGCTTTACTATTGCTATGTATTGCCATCCAGTTAGTATTATTAATATCTTATATAGATGTTCCACATTTTTAATTCTATCTACAGGCCCCTTTAAACAGCTTCCTGAATCTAAAATTTTTTTCTCTTGAAATTAACTTTACGTCTGATTACCCTCCTACCCCTACCGTCAGCATCCTTTTAAAAATTGAACACGTCATATTTGTCTACAATCACGATACACTTGTTGCTTACATTTTTTCTGCAACTGTCAATGATGGCCTATGTTTCGGTTTATCATTGGATGAAAAAATTAACTCCCCCCCCCCCCACTTCCAGTGTCTGGGCTTACTTTTCTGTCTAATGCAGATCTGATATTTTAATTGGTTAATCAAGACATTATTTTTAATTCTCACCTTATATTCTCCCCTTACACCTTTTATTTTTTGAAAAAAAGCTAACATTTTGGTTTTGAAATTTTCTTAAAAATCATTTAATCACCAGTTACTTAGCATCACCAGAAGAAGTACAATCAAATTATTGAAACATGAAAGTGATTCCAACATGTTTTCATTATAATCTCTTATAATAAAAATAATATATTGCTCTACTTTGTATTGAGCATTTTTTTGAAAGTACTAGTTTACATGGTTTTTACAGGATGGAGTTGCCAGTTCCTTGCCTATCTTGTTTTGTATTCAGAATTGTCTTTCTCCTAGAAGTTTGCACTCTTCAGCCTTGATGAGCATACAGCTCATCAAGGCTGAAGAGTGCAAACTTCTCTACTATTTAATCCATAACTAGGTGGGGAGAAGAGATGCATTCACACCCTTTTTACAAGGGTATCTGCATGTCAGTGAATGTAAGAAATTTGGCTAAAATTTAAAGTCAGTTTGATGAGTTTTTGTGCATCCTGGGTATGATGATAAACTATGTCTGGCAGAAAGGCTTCTGATAGGAAGGTTTTGAGGAGTGTGGAATTACCTGTTAATTACTGTTGTACCCAGATCCACTCTGACCCAGGGTGGAAACACTTGTTAGTCCTAGCTATGGGCAAACAGTTAACCCCCCAAACTGGGGTCAAAACACTATAAAAGTATAAAAATAAATTTTAATAGGAAATATACCAGCAATATATTTTCATAGTAAAAGAATTACCACCATTTTTGTAAAAGAAAAAAGAAAAACTACCAGCAATATATTTTTAAAGAAAAAAATTACCAGCAGATTTTTTTTTTTTTTTTTTTTTAAAGAAAGTACTCATGCTCCTTGGAGAATTAGATTTCAGCATTAAATGACCCATACGGAGTTGATATGCTGCTAAAGAAACAGTCATGAGTTTTTGTTTGAAGCCACTAATGATTACCCCACCAGCACACCTGTTATAATAAATCCTTGAATTTGCAAGCTACAGTTTGTAAACAGTCAGTTTATTAAAAATGTCTGCGTTAATGTCACTTTGCCTTCCTCTTTGAAAATATTGTCATTTATATGCTAATAAATTTATACATTGATGAATGCATTTAAAAAAATATTGTTGATTGCATTGTAACCCGATGATAGAAGTAATATAATTTTGAGATTCTCTGAAAATAATTTGTTGCATGATTCTGAATACTGTATGATGCTTTAAAAACATATTTTTTAACTTCCCAATTTGAATATCTTTATTATTATGATAAAACAATAACATTTAACAACCATAGAGTACCAATAATGTTTTATTGTTGTATTAACTTTATAAATATTGATTCCAAGATAAGGTGGTTCTTTTAGATATCTCTGTTATTTTTGTATTATTGGTCAGCCTATGTAAGCTGATATATTTTCCAACAGTATCAGGTATTTTCCAAATGGTCATCTTGTTTGGTCAGTTGCCCAGACATTTATTGAATTAAGATAAAATATTGGATGTGGTCCCTCCTAATTTTAAACTTGGCACTCATTTGGAGAAAATTTAGACATTTCCA